AGCCATTTAAAAAAAAAAAGATTCATTAATTTATTTATTTTTAGTTTTCAACATTCACTTCCACAAGATTTTGAGCTCCAAATTTTCTTCCATCTCATCCCTCCCCCAACCCCAAGACAGCATGCATTCTGAATACCCTTTCCCCTAATCTGCCCTCCCTTCTATCTCCCTCCCCCCCTTCTCTTACCTTCTTCCTCTTCTATTTTCCTGTTGGGCAGGATAGATTTCTATACCCCATTGCCTTCATTTTTGAAGTGCAGATGGGAGACTGGAGGTCTGGCTAATTGTCCCTTCAGTTTCCCTTTCTTCCATGGAATAATATGTCCTCTCCCCCACTCCATCCCAGGATAAATTGATCATCTGAAATCTTATCACCACAAAGAAAGACTCATGTTTTGATATTCTGTATTTTCTCAACTCACCCTCAGTGGCTTCTCCCTTTTGATTGAAGAGATAGAGGGCAGAGCATTAAACTCCTCCCAAAACCTTCCTTTATAGAGGACTCACAACCTCCCTGTTTTCCATCAGCTGCTTGGCTTTCAACTCTATGGAACAACACCCCCCCAAGGGCACTCCTTTGTGCCCTACCTACCCCTTACCCCCTAGTTTATCAGTTTCTTTTGGTGTGTCGTTATTGTTGTTTAGTTGTTTTCAGTCATGTCCACTTCTTCATGATCTCATTTGAGGTTTTCTTGGCAAAGATATTAGACTGGTTTGCCATTTCCTTCTCCAGCTCATTTTATAGTTAAGGAAATTGAGGAAAACAGGGTTAAGCAACTTGCCCAGGCTCAAACAGCTAGTTAAGTGTCTGAGGCCAGATTTGAACTCAGGAAGATGAGTCTCCCTGACTCCAGGCTTGGCACTTTATCCATTGCATCATCTACCTGCCCCTTGATTTGTTGGCTTTCCTCATTAGATTATAAGTTCCTGCAGGGCTAGGTTTTTCTTATTTGTATCCCAGGCTCTTAGCACAGTGCCTGACATATAGCAGGAACTTTATTGAATTGAATTGAACTGAGCCACAGAAGTGGAGAAGTCATCTCTCAAAATGTCCTTTGTTTTCTAGCCACTGCAATCCTAGATTGAGATTGTTAAAAGTAATTTCCCTGCTGGTAGACTTTCCCTGGTTAAGCTAAGAGTTTATCTCACTTCCAATCCAAGAACTCATCTGTTCTTCAATTTTTGTATTTTATTTTTTTCCAATTACATGTAAAAACAATTTTAACATTAATTTTTTTGGAAAATGTTGAATTCCAAATTCTCTCCCTTCCTCTCTCCATTCTCCCCTCCTTGAGAAGGCATGCAGTTTGATATAAATGAGAGCTCATCTGTTCTTGTGTATTTTTTCCCCGCACTAGTCTGTATACTTTTTCTAATTTCTGTTTACTTGGATACTGTTTGGTCACTATCTGGTATTGTTTTTTGTATACTAAGTGTTTGGTGGAAGGGAGGTAAGTTGACAAAAGTAAGCTAGCTGTTACCCTCCCATTCAAGTAAAGTGCTGCTGATCTTGAACCCCCAAAGAATCATACCCATAACGTATAAGTAGTAGACATAATTCTAGCCCAGTAATCCTCTTGGATATAGAAAAGTGAGAGATTGTCTAACCACAGCTGTCCTGGATCCTTGCTGCCCCTCCCTCCCTCAGCTAGTACTAGTAGAACAACCACAGTGCACCTCCTACTGCCCATAAGAGTTGAAATCACAATCCCCCGGGGGGCAGATCAGATATATCTATCTATCCATGCCATACATGCACAAGCTGTTTTATATCAGACAGTCTATGCATTGCTCCATTTTTATACATTATACATTTATGAGCCAAAAGTCAGTGCTAACCATGGCTGATAATCATTTGAGTAGTGCAAATAATATACCTATGTCAAGGAAAACAAAAACTATAGATTTTTAAGTGAAACCAGGTATAATGATGAGCTAATGTCAACAACTTTTAAAACCCTTAAAAGTGTTCAGAAGTCTCTGGAAACACTATAAAAGTTTCCCTACTTCTCTAATTAAAATTATTTCCTCAATCGTGAAATAGAATTCAAGATGAATTTTTTAAAATGATCTTATTCAGTGTTATTATTTTTTGTTTTGTTTCATTTGCAACATCATAACCTTGGGGTTAAGACAAAACTCTCTCTTTATCCCTCACTCATACCTAAATCCTGCCTTTTCTACTTCCATGATACCTCTCTAGACTTTGCTTTTAACTCCTTCAGCAACCACTCTAGTTCAAGTCCTCCTCTTTTGTCCTCTAAACTATTCTAATAGGCTCCTAACTCATATTCTTGCCCCTCTTCCCATCTTTTCCTCTATGTTCAAGTAATCTTCCTAATGCATTGCTATGATAATGGCATTTTTATACAAAAAAAGCCTTCTTAGGGCTTTATTTCTTATGCTCCCTATTGCCTAAGGAATAAAGTATAGTCTGACTCTATCAGTAAAAGGATCATAGATTGAAACACAAATAAAACTAACTTGTAGAATGAGTAAATATATACATGCTTACAACATTATAAGAAAAAGGTAAGCTAATGTTGATTTCTTTAAGGTTTTCTTTTAATTGTATTTAGTTTTAGCTAAAGTTTAAATATTTTAAATCATAGATCTAGATAGATCAATAGACCAGCACTTTTGCTTAATATTTATTTATTAATTGATTGATTGATTGATCTAGAGCTGGGAAGACCCACCCCAATCTGGCTTCAACCTATCTGTGTAGCCTTATTTCACACTACTACCTATAAGTAGCTTTCATGCAGTCTACATGAAAAATACTGAACTGCTCTTTATTCTCCACTGTTATTCTGTCCCTTATATCTCCATGCCTTGATGGTATTGTCCCCCCCCCCCCGTGCCTAGAATGGATTCCCTATCAAGCTTTCTTCACTCCAAAAGTGCTGCCCTTTCTTCAAGGGCCAATTCAGATGCTAAGGTGTCAAAGCCTCTGATACCTCAGGTGAAAGAGATCTCTTCTGTCTCAAATTTCTCATAACATTTGGACTAGACTTTTCCTTTTGTACTGTTGGGGCACAGCTCACAGACGTGGAAGGGATGTCAGATGCCATCTACTCCAACCCCTTCATTTCACATATGAGAAAACTGAAACTGAGGCTTCAGGTATTTGCCCTGCAGGCATATAGGTAGTATAAGAGGTGAGATTTAAATCCTGTTCTTCTGACTCCAGATTCAATGCTCTTTCCACTCTAGACACTTCCTCATTTCAGCCTTCCTTGTATTGTAGTTATTTGGTTTTGGTCTTTTCCCTTATTAGATTTATAAACTTCTTGAGACTAGGGCCCGTGTCTCATCTTTCTGTATCTTCTATGTCTACTACAGTGTTTTGCACATAAAATGCTTAATGAATATTTAGATTGAATTATTTTCTAATATTTTCATTGCATATGTACAGATTTTCACTAACCCCCTCAAAAAAGCTACAATATGAGCTAAATATACTTTCTAGGCTATTCTAAGTGCCATTTATTTATATGAAAAAATTAATTACAAGTTCCAATGAAATGACTTACATAATTTGGGGGTACAGATTATAAATTAGAGACTTTCTCTACCTAAAAATTAACGTCACATTTCTGAAGATTTGCCAGACTTCCACCCTAAGTCAACAGTACACGTGTTCTTGGAATTACTACGTGTCATAGGTACTTGTTGGATATGTAAATACACAGGGACTAACAAGCTACTTACTTGTATCAGTGTAAGAAAAGGATGTTACAGTGTTGATTTCTTCAAGGGTTTCTTTTAATTTTGTTTCAAAATGAACAATTCTGATGGCACATTTTACTAATATTATCCCCCTTCAAGACTTAGCTTGATGGAAAAGGTGTCTGAGGTCATAGGATTCACAGCTGGAAAGCGGCCTTAGAGATGACCAGGTCATCATAATTTCAAATTTGGAAGGTTCCTCAGAGGTCACTTCATTCAGTTCTCTCATTTTACAGATGAGGAAACTGGGGCCTAGAGTTTAAGTGACTTGCTCAAAGTTAAGACAATGAGTTAGTAGCAGAAATGCAAACCCAGGTTCTAGCTCTAAATGCAGTCATATCACCAATGCCTCCTTTCTAGAATACGCACATATCACATATGTAATCACATATATAGTTTAATACATGTGTATAAATGTATGTGTACACACACACATATATATTTGTATACTATATGTGTATGTGTATACACATACACACCTTCCAAATATAGTGGAACGCTTCCTCTGGGGTCACGATCCCCAGATACTATATTTCACTGCCTAATCCTTTTTTTTTGATCCAAAAATTGGTTTATATCTTTTCATCGCTTAATCATTAATTTATCTTTTGTATTCTGTGAGCTGTGAGCCTAGAATTTCTCATTCCACTTTTTCAGTATTCAGTGTTAATATATATTCAGGAGTATTCTGTGCATCCTAATCTTTTTTAAAAATTTATTTTTTTTTTATGTTGGAGGCAATGGGGGTTGTTAGGTGATTTGCCCAGGGTCACAAAGCTTGTAATTATTAAGTATCTGAGGCTGGATTTGAACTCAGGTCCTTCGATTCCAGGGTTGGTGCTTCATCTACTGCACCATCTAGCAGCCCCTATCCAGACTGACCCCAGACCTTCCAAAATCCCTCCTCCCTTTAGTTACCCCATGCAGCAAAATAGGAATGGCCTGGGGGGGGTGGGAGACACAAAGTTAAAAGAGATGCATTGTGGAGTTGTTTGAAAGTCAAGAATGACAGTGGTCAGGACAAGGGAGTGGAAGGAGAGAGAGCAAGGAGCATAATGGATGCCTGAAGGAGAGCTGGAGTGCAGGCGAACCAGGGCAAAGGAGGGCGCAGAGCGGATCCTCGCTAGAGCAGAGGAGGTGGCCAACGCGGAGGAGTGCGGGATGCAGCCAGCAGCACAAAGAGAGCAGGACAGGAGCTGCGGATAGGGCGAGGAAGAGATGACGGAATAATGGCCAGGTGGCGGGGTCTCCCTTGGATTTCCCCGCCCCTCTCCTAGGCCTAAGAGATGCAGCCCGGTCTCCGGTTCCTCCTCTCCTCTTTCCCCAGCCCTCCCTTCCCATCCTTCTCCATCCCCTGCACGGCTGACGTGTCTGCCTGGCACTGCTCATGCTCTCCCTCCGCCCCAAACCCGGGTCCCAACCTCGCCGCTCGCCCCCGCTTTCTCTTCTCTCCTCCCCGCCGCCTCGCCATCGCCGTCCCCCGCGCCCGAGGCCTCCCTCCGCCCCCCTCACCCCTCCAGCTCCAGCCCCAGCCCCGCCAACATGGCTGCAGCGCCGCGTCTGCCCTTCTGTCTCCTCGTTCTCCTCTTCTCCACTGGGCCGCGGCTGGGTCAAGCGAACCGAAGCGGGGACCGGCGCTTCGCGGAGCTGAAACGCTGCTCGGACGAGGAGTGCAGCAGTGAGTGGGCGCCTGGGTCCGCGGGATCGGGGTGGGGGCGGGGGGGACACGCGGAGCTGCGGGGCTGGGGGGCGGACGAGCAGCATGCTAGGGGGTCAGTGCTTCGCGGGAGCCGGAGATCGGAGGCCGAGCTGGCGCCAGGGAACAGTTCCGGCTTCTAGAGGCAGAAGAAAGTACCCCCTACCCCTCCCCCGGTTTTTCTGCTCTTGGGTCTGGGCGTCTCCGCAGCTCCGCCTCAGCCTGCCACCGCGGCACCCGAGCTCGCCGGCTTCTTCCACACTTGTTGCAAGTTTTTTTGCCCCCGAATCGAGAGAGGGGAGAGCAGTAGAAACGTCCCCTTACCCTCTCCCGAACTACAGGCATGGGCCCTCGGATCACCCCCTTCCAGCCTTCCTTCCGATAGCAAGAGATAAGAAACATAACATCTAAGTCTTCCTTGGGATTTGTTGGTTTTCAAAGCCCAGTGTTTGTTTTTTAGGCTAGGAGAAAGTGCCTTCCAGCCCTTCCACTGTTGTAAAGATCTCCTTTGCTGCATTTGTGGGACCAGACGGGTTGCTAGGTTTAAGGCATTCTCATGGGCTGCTTTTTCCGCCCTCTCTGAGTCTTACTGGAATTGTTTGCTACTTAGCTGTATTTTGAAAAGTGTTTTGGGTTTATGAAAGGGCAAGTCCAGATTACCTACACATACATACACATTACACTTTTGTTACAGTCAGACATCAATGATCTCTGAATCTTGTCCTTATGTGAAACATTTCCCTCTCCAACAAGTCACAGGGGAGGTCATATCTTTCACCCCTGAGACCAAAGCAGTCATACCCGACTCCTGGGATAGCCCATTTTATAGGCAAGGAAGCTGAAGCAGTTAGTTAAAACTGGGTTTCTGATTTAAGTCCTTTGGCCAGCTCTAAGGGGGAGAGGTGGGGGGAGGGAGATAGTCATGAGTAATTTTGAAGAGTTAAAAAACAAAGAATACACCAGTATTACAACCTAAAGCAAATTTAGTTTCGTCCACTTTTGTTCTTGGAAACTACAAAATATTCGAGTATTTCTTGTCATTTGTGTTGTTAATAGTTGTCTGTCTGACAACAACAAATGGATTTGTAACTGGCTGACCTAAGTGCCGGAAGAGAAGTAACTTGGCTTTTATAATATGCAAGGATGAATAAGAAAATATTCTTTAAAGGCATATACAGGTACCTTTAAAAATTCTCATAACTTGAAATACAAGAATTATTGTATCTCCTGAAGAGAAGTGAGCAGAATCAATATACAACTAAAAGACCTACTTGTTCCAACAAATTGCTAAAAATTAACCTAGGGACGTTTGAAATAAATTGAAACTGCCAGCCTTTTCTGTTTTCAAGTGACTTCTTTGGAACAGATCTCAAAACCAAGTTATTATGTATATGTCTCATTCCAAAGTATAGTTAGAAATTAATTTATGTAGAACTTTAATAATTTCTATGCTTAGGAAAGGAATAGAGTGTTTTCCATTGCCCCTCTTCTTCCTTTCCCCTTAACCACTGTGTAAACAATTTCTTGGCTCTTTTTTGTACTAGGGGGAAAAAATGTCGGTACACTTTTAATTTTAGGTTTGGGATTTTTTTTCCTTTTTGTTCAGACCTATGATTTTACTTCCTCTGCCAGGATAGATTAGGAAATATTCTGCAGTTTATGGTCTTAGAGAGTAGCTTGGGACTCTTAGAAATTAAGAGACTTAACTTGCACAGGGTCTTACAACCGTTGCCTCTGCCAGATGGGATTTGAATCCAGGTCTTCTGATTCAGAGTCTGTTTCTCTTACTACATTATGCTGCAAATATAAGCATGTTTTGTGACTATATTTGCAATCATGTGTGTATGTATACCAACATATATATGCATACAATTATACATACAAACATACAGCATACATATATACATAAAACATACTCATTTATAGTATGGTATATGTGCGTTTATACATGTACATGTATATATCATATATTCATATGTACATATATATGTGGGGGGGAGTGACTAATAAAAATACCAACCAAGATTTGAGTTCCTGCCTGATTTAAATCCTTATTCTTCAGGCCGCTCAGTGTTAGAGCAATTTATGACAAGTGCTGTGTCTAACACTTATGTGACCTTAGGCAAGTCACAGCCTTTCTGGGTCTCAGTTTATACCTGCAAAATGAGAAGGGTTATCCTATAATAAGGCTTTTGAGGTCCCTTCCAGCTCCAGATCTATATAATGCTCTGATTTTGTGTCTAAATTTTTCCTTAGTGTCTACCAACAATGACTTTTTTTCATAATGCTGTTTTGATGTCAGCTTCTCTATCTACCTTATGTTGTTGTTCAGTCATGTCCAACTCTTTGTGACCCCATTTGGGGTTTTCTTGGCAAAGATACTGGAGTGGTTTTGCCATTTCCTTCTTCAGCTCATTTTACAGATGAGGAACCAGAGGCAAATAGAGTTAAATGCCTTGCCCAGGATCACACAGCTAGTAAGTGTCTGAGGCTGGATTTGAACTCAGGTCTTCTTGATTCCAGGCCTGGCACTCTATCCACTGTGCCACCAAGCTACCCCCTATCTGCTTTATGGGAGAAAGGAATTTTCTTTCCTTTTAAATTCTGATTAAGCTTGGTGTTTGATGCATTTAAAACTGCTTTATTTCTCATAAAAGCTTTTTGTTTTAGGCATGTTTTTCTTATCTTATGATCAAAACCATAGGCTTATTGGCAAAGACTTGGCACCTCAAAGCCATTCTTTCCAGATAATTTGCTCAAGGAGCACAGCTTTGCTACAAATATAATCCTCAATTTTTACTGCTGCATATTAGGAATTTTGTCCATTTATAGGTAATATGCCTTCTAATAGTTCAAAATAATTAGCTCTTGAGATTCAGGTTTTCTTCACAGCTCAGTTACCAACTCTTGTAAGTCATTTGATTTCTTTATACCTCAATCTGTGAAATGAACATTTTTGTAGACATAAAATGGAAAAGTTCAGTGATTAGGGTATTAGACAGGAAAGTGCTGTCCAAATCACTTTAATTTCTCCAGATTTCACTGCCATCCACACTCAGAATGGAATTAGTACTACCTGATGTAAACCTGTCTACCTATCAAGAGTTGTTACAAATGTTAAAACAAAAAAAATCTTAAAAAACATTTAAAACCTTAAGTGCTACTAAGAACCTTACTGAAGGTGGCTCTGTCTACAAGTAGTGGGAAAACAATTCACATCTACAGAGTGTTCTCAGATTCTCCATGGAATATAAACACAAACAGAAGTGTGAAGGGCTACTAGTGATGCTTGGTCCTTATCTTTCTTCTCCAGTGTTGATGTACCGAGGTAGAGCTCTGAAGGATTTCACAGGTCCAGACTGTCGCTTTGTAAATTTCAAAGAAGGGGAAGCTGTATATGTCTATTACAAATTAGTAGGAAGATCACCTGAACTTTGGGCTGGAAGTGTAAGTACTATTTAGCATATTTTCTTTTCTTCCCTTTTTATTTCAGTATACCATTGTCTTGAGATTCTTGTTTTTGGCAAAAGTATAACACTGAGTTCAAGACCTCATAAGCTATGAATATTCCATAAATATTCTAAGGTTGAGATGACTAAAAACCTGCAGATAATCTCCTTTATTGCCCTGAGAAATGACAAATTCCACATACTTTAAATTTGTCAGGAGCATCAAAACTTGTTTCTGTAAGTTAAGAAGGTAAGCCTATTATAGTGTTTCATGATGTGCAGTTGATTCTTTGTGTTTGCATTTTCATTTATAGCAACTTAGCTAACGTTTGTGAAAAGCCTAAAGGATCTGGGAACTTGTGGCACATAATTATCTGTGTTATTAATAGGTTCTGTCATTGGAGAGCCTTTAGCATCATTAAAGTGGGGGAAGGGATGGGGAAGAAGGAAAACTTAACTTTCACAATCTTTCCATACTGCTTTTTTTTCCTCTTGAAAGGACTTTTAATTGGATTCTATTGTAATTAGCTCCTTTTCAGACATTTCCCCCCCCTTCCATCATTATCCTTTCTCTCTTCCTGCCTCTTCTGAATGTCTTCTGCTAGGCTCTGTCCACAGCTACACCTTTCACTAGTTACTAGTTTGTTTTAATTTGACCTGACTAATCCATCAAATTGCATATGTATTTTTAAAAAATTGATTTGGGAAAATTATCGGAAAGAGATGTGCCTGACTGGAAGGAATGCTTATGATTTCTCTTAATTTCTGTGTTTGTTTTTTTAAATGTAGTGGGTTGAGAGCTTAATATTTTCTCCATACTGAAAGGGTTTTTAGTACTGTTCAAAGAAAGGCATAATCCCTACTCTAAGGCTTTAAAACTTGAGAGAGAAAACAAACGATAATAGGAAAAACCCCTTCATGAAGCAATAGGTATAATGTTTAAAAATAAAATCCTGGGTCTAGGATCTTCAGAAATCCTCTGGTCTAACTCCCAGCTTCTAGGAGGTAATCCATTTAAACTATCTGATATGTATAAAAATCTATTCTATTTAAGACTCATAAAGAAGGAAATAAATCCTTAAGGGTAATTGTTCCATAGTGTAGTGGCACTATGCGGGATTTGTAGTTAGAGGACTAGTTCCAATCCGATCTCATCCATGAAGCCTTTCTTGATTACCTAATCCCAAACTTGTTTGGTGTTTATTATCTACTACCTTTTTGTGTGGTTATTTGTGTACATATTCTGGCTAGATTAGAAATTCCTGGAAAGCAAGACATGTCTTATATTTATATATCCCTTACATAGTGATTTCAACATAAGATATGTTCAGTAAGTATTTGTTAAATGAATAATTATTTGAGTGCCAGTTAATGCATAGCATTATAGTAGGGCACTGAAGACTTGAGGAATATAGGTGCCTTTGAGAAGCACTCAGTCTGTTTTCCTTCTTCATATCTTTTGACAAATGGCCTTTGGTGGCAAACAATGTAGTTGAGAGAGTTCATGTATGACAGTGCAGTAGAAAAGTGGGTACAAAGTATTCTGTATGTGAGTTGTAGAAAAAGGAATTCAACTAAATCAAATAAGTACTTCTTTGATAAGTTCCTACTACCTGCTAGCACGTGATTGAGATGATATATTTCTAAGCTATTTTATATGATATAGAAGTTTTAAAACATAATAGCTTGCCCTCAAAAGCTTGTAGTTATGCATGAAATAGTCAAAGAGAAACCCGTGGTTAACGGCACAAATGAGTGCTACAGACAGGAAAGATTTTGGTGTTTTAGGAGTTGAGAATGGAAAGATCATTGTGGGCTGAAATATTTGGAGTAGGTTTTGTGGAGAAAGTAGCAACTCTCCTGGAAAATCCTTTGGATGGAACTTTAGCTAAATATTCTGCCTTCTAGGTTTAAACTTCATGACCACCACTAATTCCTTGTATGACCTCAGGCAAATCATTTTACATCTCTAGACCCAGTTTCTTCATCTGTAAAATTAAGGAGATAGGCCTAGGTATTCACTAAGGTCTTCTCCAGCTTTGGAATCTAAAAGTCTTGTGATTCCTGTCTTCTTTCTGTCAGTAAAGAGAAGCCAGCATGAGCTTCTACCATTCCAGTAGACCGTGACTCTCCACCTGAATGTTTTTATTAAAAACCAAAATATTTCTTTTTCCTTAAATTTCATTTTATACATAATAGATTTCCCAAAATCCATATGTAGGAGCCATGATACTGTTTGCAGGAACCTACACTTTGACTGATAGAGCATTTTCAAGCAAGACTAGCTCTTCACTCAATAACATCTCAGGCCACTCTCCTGCCCTTTCTATTATACCTCTTTCACTCTTAGAATTAATGTTACTGACCCACTCTTCTACTGCTTAACATTTTATAGAGTAGCCTGAAAGAGTTATGCTTATTTGTCTAGAATTTGTCTTAGAATATTAGCCTAGTAAACTTTATTAAGGAACACTTTCTATTTCTAGTACAGCTTTGGAAAGGAAAAAAATGTTGGCATTGAGAGAAATTCAAGGTGTGGTGCACCTGTAAACCTAGTTGCACATTGAACTATATCTCTTACTTTTATCCTAATAGTTAGCTTATGCTTAATTCTGGTGCCTTCCCTCTGTTCATTATCTACATTTTATCCTGTCTATAGCTTGTTTGTATACATAGTTGTTTACATGTTTTCTCCCCCATTAGATTGTGGGTTCCTTGAGAGCAGGGACTGTCTTCTGACTTTCTTTGTATCCCTAGCACTTAGCACAATGCCTGGTATATAATAAGCACTTAATAAATGTTTATTGACTGACTGACTCAAGCATTAGTTTTCCTGCTGTGGCGAAATTATACATTCTTTCTCTAATTCTATTTACTGTTCTTGAGAAAGGTGATACCACCCAGTGTGTAAATATAGGGTTTGCTATTGTCTGTGCTTATGCTCAGGTGGTAAATATTAAATATTTTCTTTGTTTAAGAACTTTTTTTTCCTTTCTAGAAATACTTCCTCCTTTCCTTATTTTTCTCATTATCATTAAAGCTTGTTACCTGGACAAGTGAAATTTGTTTTTCCTTACATTGCAGAGATATAAAGCTGAAAGGTATCATACAGACCTATCCAGTCTTTCTCTTCAGCAGATTATCACTCTGGGCTTTAGTTTCCTTAAGTGATTTTCCAAGGGTATGTGTTAGTGGAAATTATTTAGTAGAAGAATTGGAATTAGAAGCGATATGTCTTAACTCCTAGTTGTGAGCTCTTTCCATTATTTCATAAGTACCGGGTAGAATGTAGGAGCTTCTTTTAACAGCTTTTAGAATGATGCTTGGGTCCTCATTTTAAAAAAACTATTCTGGAGCCATTTTTTGGGGGGGAGGAGGGTGGAATATGTTAGAAACTCTATGACTTTAATGGCCTATCTGCCAGTTTTTTATTGTACTATCTAATCTTCATAACAGCATTTTAGTAGTAATGTTGACTTTTAGACAGTTGTCAGATGTTACTAATGAGATTATTACTGTGGAATATTTAACTAGTTGGTGATAAGATGATTTTATTTCCGTGTGTGTGTCTCTGTGTGTGTGTGTGTGTGTGTGTGTGTGTGTGTGTGTGTGTGTGTGTGTGTGTTGGGTATGTATAGGTACATAAATGTGTGTATATACATATATATATCCTTTTTTAGTGACTGCTGCAGTGAGCTACTTTTGATATAGCTATATGTTTAATGGAAAGGACACATGACAGTTTTTGTAACTACTACAAGTTTGCTATTTTCTTTCTCTGCAGTGCGTATTGATATTTCCTCATTTTGTTCATTCTTATGTACAGGTTGGCAGTGTTTTTGGGTACTTTCCAAAGGATCTAATTGAAGTAAATCATCAGTATTCTGAACAAGAATTAGAACTACCAACAGATGTAAGTAATGAGTTTTTTTTTCTTAATTTATAATTATTAAGTAGACCATCTGTTTCTTCAGAGTGGGTTTTAAAAGACTGTAGTAGTTACTTTCAGCTTGAAAGTAAGGAATCCTAATAGTCTTTGCATCAAATTTTAATTTGTGCTAGAGCATATTTTAAGTAGAGAGAGAATTTTAAAGACTTTGTGATGGAAGATATAATCTTTGAAACATAAAAGATTTTCAGGCAGCTGGGTAGCCTACGGGTTCTTTCCTTTACATCTGGAATTTCAGTTTGATCCAACGAGCATATATTGTGTTTTCTAGGTGTCAGGTGCTTTACTAGGTAATGAGGATACACAAAGTACTACAAATAGTACCTTTCCTCAAGGAGCTTAATTCTACTGAGGAAAAATTTGCATATAAAACTTCAGGGATGAAGTATTTTTGGTTGCTTTAAGACATATGTCAACCCATTTTGTTTTTGGAGGTGGGGGAGGCAATTGGGGTTAAGTGACTTACTCAGTGTCTCACAGCTAGTAAGAGTCTGAGCCAGATTTGAACTCAAGTCCTCCTGACTTCAGGGCTGGTGCTCTATCAATTGTGCCACCTACCTGTCCTTGTCAGCCCATTTTTGCAAGTAAATTGATAGACTGGTCCATTAAAAATCATTTTGATCTTATATGCTGCCCCCCACCCTCCTCTGATACTGTGACTACAGTAGTATAGGCCTTTATCACTTCATATCTAGAGTGTTATAACAGCCTTCAGGTTAGTTTCTTTGCCTTCTCCATTCTCACCTATCCTCTATTCACCCGTCAAATTGATCTCTCTAAAGTGCAAGTCTGATCATGTCAGTAAACTCCATGAACTCCCTGTTCAGTAAACCCCAGACTTGCTGTCACCTCTAGGAGGCAGATATAAAACCCTCTTGTTTTTAAGTCCTTCATACCCTGGCCTCTTTGTACTTTTCCAGTCTTTTTATGTTTTACTCCCCTCTGTGTACTCTGCAGTCTGGTGATGTTGGGATTCCTTGATGTTCTTTGCAGAAGACACTCCATTTCCAGACCCTGTGCACTTTTAACGGTTATCCCTCAGAATTTGGAATTCTCTTTCTCCTCATCTCTGCTTCCTGGTGTCCCTGGTTTCCTTAAAATCTCATTCAAAGGCCCACTCTTTGCAAGTAGCCTCTCTAGTCCTCCTTAAACTTAGTGTCTTCCTTTTGACACCATCCCCAATTTATCCTCTATATGTTTTGTTTGTATGTAGTTGTTTGCATGTTGTCTCTTCCTTTAGACTCTGAGGTCCTTGATGGCAAAGACTCTATTTTGTCTCTCTTTGGATCCCTAGTGCTTAGCATAATGCCTGCCACATAGAAGGTGCTTAATTAATGCTCATTGACTTAAATTGTTGATTTGCTTAAATTGGATGTTAAATAAAGCACTCAAATGGCATATCAAAGTTAAACTAATTTGACATTAAAGTGAAACATGTGCTCTGAGTTGATTATTCCACCTCCCATTTGAACTAACAAGTCTAGAGCCAGGATGGCAGCATCTTCACTGGGAATAGCTTACTAGCTCCAACCAATGTGCATCCTATCATGATTGTCAGTGGATATCAATTTGTCAGCCAGATTTAATGAGCTTTTAGAAAGGGGTATTTATTTATGAGGTGGTATATAGAGCTGCCATGTTGTGAGAACAGTTGCCAACAAACTGTTTTCTCTTCTCAGAAGTCTGTGGCATACTCTCTTCTGTGGGTACAGAATCAAAGGGAAAGCCAGCTCAGACAGAGAGCAAGGGATCTTTGGAGAGCTTTGAATCTGTGTCCAGTCTGTCTGTGGTTCCTAATAGAGACACTGAAGCCAGTTCACTTGGAATTGTTTCTAGGACAGTATTGGGAAAATGGGAAGTCCTCCAGACCCTGAAGTTTATGAGGTCCTCCTCTGGTCAAGGGAGTGGGAAGAGACTTGAGCCAAGTCCTAGGCCTCTGCTTCTCTGCCACTGATCATTTTCTTCTCAGGAGTTTAGCTGAGATGCTCTTTCGTCCCCTCTTGATCATACATGTATGATCCTCTCTGGTTCTGAACCAACCCTCTGGTTTTATACAGGTCTCACAAAGTGCTGTTATCAAGTTTCCTCAGCCAGTTTGTGCAATGGTCAAGGGTTTTTCCCCATGCTTAGTCTAAAGACTGATTAAAAAGATGTATTCTTTCCTGGATAAAATATCAGGGTTTAGCAGTTTATCTCTTACTTTAAATGGATTGGGTTAATTTTATTGATTTACTCAATCAACCTCTATTCTTACAAAAGAAAGCATTATCCCTGACTTCAGTGACTGAATATTTGGTAGATTCAGGGGAAGGAAACAGAAAGAGTTTTGGGATTGAGGCCTTGGTCTTCAATGAATTAAGGCAACATGGCTTTTTGCTGGGTGAAGTGGTCTGATTGCCAAAGTAATAATACAATGCAGTTTCCTCCTTCTAATTAATTGTTCTAGAGTTGCTAGAGAGCTCAAAAGCTGGTAGCATTGACCTATGGCAGAATCTTGGCAGAGGTTGCAGTATGGCTGAGGGCTTTGAGCTTTCTTCATCCTCTGACTTTTTCCAGTCTTGGGGGTTTTTAAACTGACTTTATTGCAGGAACTCCCTCACTTTTAATTGCATGACAGTTCTATGTTTAAATGTGATTCAGGCAGTCTGTAGGTCATAGAGACGTGACCTGGGCAGATTGTACTCTGTCAAGCAGTTTAGACTTCTGAGGGTGTTAATAGAATGGTTTAAAATGCTTTCATTTGCAGTGAAAAGGAGAACTGATATGGCATTTTTTTCTTACACACACATATGACCAATGAGTCCAGTTGTTAATTGAAGCTATTAGCCCTGCAACATCAAAATAAAGAACCTCCAACTTAGCTAAGCATAGACTCTTAGGCTTGATGACTTCAGTGCAGAGAGGAGAACTTAGAAAAACAAGTTGGCAAACTGGGTTCAGCAGTAAGGTTTGGAGTGAGGACAAAGACACTTGTAGACTAAACAGATTTATCTTGCCTATACATCATGAATACTTTCTTTGAGAGGCTTACTTGAAGCCTTCCATACCCCTTCTTTTACTGAGAAGGAAACTGAGGCCCAGGCTGGGGAAATGACCCCTGAGCAGTCATAAAAAAAAAAAGACTTTCTTTAAGAAAAGGAATGAATTAATTATATTTTAATGGAAAGGAGCAAATCATTACTGGTGTGGGAGTCATTCTCAATCAGTTGTCTGTATGTTCAGACAACTAGCTTGTTAGAGCCAAGATCAAATTTAATACAAAGCTAAAAGAGAATAAAAATAAGGATAAGGCATTTTAAAGCTAATAAAATTAATTGAAATTTTCTTTAAGTATATGATTCATTTAAATCCAATACTTGCTCAGCTTTTCATTTAGTTAGGGGTAACAATAGCATGGATAAAATAAAATCCACAAATAGACATAAACATTCATTTAAAATTAATATAAATGACTCCAGGTTACTTTAGGGTATGTCCCTCAACAAATCTTTTCTACTTCTTATTGACATAATTAAGTAGGAAAGAACTTCTGACATGATTCACTATTTCTTTTTACTTTAAATTTCCTATGTAGCCTGCATCCCAATAAAAGGTCCTTTAAGTGAACAGCATTCTTTGCTAACCCAGGGAAAATAAGAACAACTAGAATGACAAATTCTGTTGATTTCTAACATGAAGTGGAAGATATGCAAGCATATTTAAGAAGACAGGTTGATAGGAAAGTTAGTTTCTCAGCTTCTCCTGAGTCAGAGCTTCATGAAGTAATTTGATAACTTTGAAAGGAATTCCTAGACCATCAGATACAATTATTTTTAAATATAAATACAAAATTCATTCAAAAATCAATTACTGAACTCTAAGACAATTCCAAAAGACTCATGATGGCAAATGCTGTCCAGATCCAGAGAAAGAACTATGGAGTCTGAATACAGATCGAAGCATACTATTTTCTCTTTTTTTTGTTGTTGTTTTTCATATTTTCTTTCTCATGGTTTTTCCCTTTTGTTCTGATTCTTCTTTCACAATATGACTAATGTGGAAATGTATTTAATGTGATCATACATATATAGCTTATATCAGATTGCATGCCCTCCTGGGGAGGGCGGGAGTGGAGGGAGTGAAATTTTAACTTAAAATCTTATAAAAGTGAATGTTGAAAAATAAAAATAGGTAAATAAATAAAATTTTAAAAAATGAGTTATTGATAAGCCACTTAATATGTGTAATCAAGAGTTGACTGTATTACAGGACTCAGGATGTGTGTTAAAGATGGTTTGACACAATAACATTTTTCTTTCCTTTCAGGAAACAGATTTTGTTTGTTTTGATGGAGGAACGGATAATTTTGACAACTATGATGTTGAAGATCTTTTAGGATTTGGGGGAGAAACTGTAAGAGGCAAAGGGGAAGATGAATTGAACACTTCAGGAACTGAAAGCTCTGAGACACCTACAGAAGAAATGGAGGAGGAGCATCCTAAGAAGGTAAATATTGAAGAACCCCTTGAAGTATCCAAGGATGGCAATGATGAGCCTGAAATAGCAGTGGACAGTAAAGTTCTTGCAAATTCGGAAGAAAACAGCTTACCTCCTGAAAACACTAAGAATCTAGAGGAAGAATTTGAAACACAGAGGCCCCCAGTCCATGTAAATAGTCATGCAGATAATCCTCAGGGAAACCAACCTTTCCTTGAGCCCTTAGAAGAAATACTGCAAGATAAATTAAAAGTGCCAGAGAGTGAGAATGCCAAAAATATCAATATTTCTCAGCTTTCCAAGGATTGGGAGGAAATTGACGCCTATAAACTTTTGAAAAAGGAAATTAATTTGGATTTGAAGACAAAATTTGGCTCAACTGCAGATGCACTTATATCTGATGATGAAACAACTAGGCTTGTTACTTCATTAGAAGATGAATTTGATGAGGAATTGGATACTGATGATTCCAGACTTGAGGAAGAGGACAATGAAAGCTTTGATGAACCACCATTACTAACTTTTACAAATGGAGAAGATGGGAAAACACCAGGGAACACAGTAGTTGAGAAATATTCAACAGGTGAAAATACTGAAGGAGACCCTGATGAAACAGCTCAGCTTAGGACGGGTGAAAAGAATGATAAAAATATACTGAAAGCCTTAGGAGATACTATTTTATCTATTGTTGGTGGAGGTGAAGAAGAAAGAGATGCCACAGATTTGGATGGCTCTGATTTAGATGAAGAAAAGGTAGAAGATAATGAAAAAGTCCTAACTAGTAAATGGGAAGAAGACAGCACTCCTTTGACTATGGAAGTGCCTGTAACAAATCATGACAAAAACCTAGACGATGCCCTTGAAATTGGCATGGCAACTGAAATTAAGGAAAATAGTGAGAGAATACAGTCATCCACAGAAGAATTCATGAAGAATGGAATGGAATTAGGAGATGAAGACATTTTTATAAAAAGTCCTACTCATGAAACTGACCTTAAACTTAATAATCCTGCTGAAAAAAGAGAAGACACTTTAAAATCACCCCTTAATGATGTGGGAGGTGACCTAAAGGGAACCATTATTCACCAGACCACAAAAGGGGAAAAGTCTGGAGAGAAGGTTTTAGATGACAACTTAGAGAGTGATCTTGTACATAAAACTCTCTGGAAGAAAATGAAAGACAAAAATACTGAACAGAAATCTATAAATACTAAACCACTGTTAGAAGATGAACAACAAAATGCATCCAAAGGAAACGTGGATATAATAGGTATTTCAGAAAATGAACAAGAGCAGGAAATGTTTCCAGTGAAGATGCAAGGAAAGGAATCCATAGAGCTATCTGGGCTTAGAACTCAAAATCAAGTCAACATTTCTTCTGTAGATCAAACTGATTTACCAAGAGAAAAGGTGGAGGAGAATCTTATGTTGGGAGAAAATTTAATGGACCAGCAGGAAAAAGATATGAAAACTGAGATTAGCAAGAAGCTGATTGAAAAGATCAGGCATTCTGAAAGAGAGATTCGAGATCAACTTTCCAAAGATGGAAGCAAAGAAATGGAGAGCACACAAAGTAAAGACAAAGATATTCCTCAGGATGGAGAAACAAATTATTTCAAAGAAAACGTAGGCCAGCCCCTTATCATAGAGACAACAGAATTCCAGACAGAAAGTGATGATTTCTATACAGCTGAGGATTTGTTAGAAGATGAAAATGCTATAAGCGCTGCTGCTAGTGACCAGAGCAGTAGGATAAATGTTGATGTGCAAATGAGAGAAAAAGCTACTTCAGGAGTCACTAATCTGATTCATACCACGGAAGACACCAAAGAGAAAACAAGTATGATTTTGGAAACTGAGGGAGTAGATAGCAGCTTGCAAGAGTCAGGCAGGACTATGCCCAAAGAGGTAACTGCAAAGGTTGGAGAATCTATTAAAATAGCTATAGGGCAGCAAGAAAAGAATCCCTTCAAAAAAGATGAAAAACCCACATCCTCTGCAATTAGTGACTCTTCTGGCAAGGATGAAAATCAGGCTCAAGATTTAGTTGAAGAGACTAATTACTTTGAAAAAGAAGATGGTCCAAAAAACAAAAAAGACTTCAGTTACACAGAAAGGTCTTGGCCAGATGATTTCTCCCAAGAGGACCTTGAATATTCACAGAATTTCACTGATGCAGAAAGCCAAACAAATCAGCAATCTGATTCTACAGAGCTTGATGATAACTTGGTATATAAAAAAGCTGTTAAGTCAGAATATAGTGACACAATAAAGCAACTGCCTATCATTAAAGGCTTTCTTGATGAAAAACGAGTAGAAAGATTAGAAAAGTACCTTGGGTCTGAGAATGTCCTCTTAATGGAATCCACATTCCATGACATGGAAAGTAAGCTAGAGCTTGCTCAAAAGGAGAGTCTGGCATATAATATGGAAAAAGCCCTGGAAGATGTCTTTCGCTCTTCAGAATCAAACATCCTTGATATGGTAGAGAAAATGTTGGATTCAAGAGTGGCAGAAAACAAGGAACTGGGCATGAAGGAGATAGACATGTTTGATGAAGAGGCTGCTCTGCTGGATGATATTCAGGACCTGATCTATTTTGTCAGATACAAACACCCTTTGGTAGAAGAGAGTGTACCACTAGCAGCTGCTGAGCCTCCAAAACAAAGTTCTGATGTGCCTCTTGCAGGTAAGTACAAATCTATTGTCTTCTTGAGTTAGGCTGGTGGGTAAGGGCGGTTATGTTCTTTCTCGAATCCAGTGCAAGGCATAACCCTATATGAGACCAGCCTGGTCTGTTTAGGAAAGAGTACATGACATCTCAATAGTCTGAGAATAGCTGTTCATTTCCCTCTCTTTGACCCCAAATTCCCTTTTCCCATTCATCTCAGTGGCAATTGAGTATTATTATTCTTTATTATTGTTTAAAAATAAATTTTATTGATGACTTTTGTTTTTAATCATAGCCATCTCTAGATATACCATCCTCATTCTTCCAAATTGAACCTTTTATTATGGCAACAACAAAGACAGTTAAGCAAAACAAACAAAAACATTGACCATTTCTGACAACACCTATATTTTCCCCTAGTAGTCCTCTATCTCTCTGTCAAAAGGAGGAAAGTATATTTTATTCAGAGTTATTATTAATGATAATAGCTAATATTTTATATAGTACTTTAAATTTTAGAAAGCACATTCCTCACAACAAAAGTAATACAAATATAATTTTCATTTTATAGATATGGAAACTGTTTCAGAGAGGTTAGAAGCTGACAACCTCTTAGGTATTTCATCTTCCTGAGCATCAGTTTCCTCATCTATACAATAAGGAGTGGACTTGATGCCCTCTGAGGTCTCCTTCAGCTATGAGTCTCTAAGATTTACCATACTCAGTGATTTGCTTAAGGTCACAAGCCAATAGGTGTCAAAGCCAGGATTCAAACTTAGCTCTATTGACTTGATTCACTATTTTTCCCATTACACCACACTACATCTCCAGCATGGTATTTACTGTTCTCAACAGTAAGAGTAACCAAGTTATTGAGGTATAATAAATATTATATCCTCCAAAAATACTTTGGAATAAAAGTTTCTGTATAAAGATAATTATTCAATTCAACTACTTTATTACCTATTGTGTCATGAGGAATAGAGATATCAGAAAATTACTAAAATTCACTGTCATTCCTCCTTTCCCCCCCAAAAAACCTTCATATTAATTTCAACCTATGGTTATACCTCTTTTCCTAACAAATTGCATTGCTATTAATAAATAGTTAAAAGCAATGGTTTGGTTTATCGTGCTCCTCTTTGGGAATTTTTTTTAAAAATTAATTTATTTTTAGTTTTCAACAAGCACTTCCATAAGCTTTTGAGTTTTAAATTTTCTCTTCCTCCCTCCCCACCTCTTTCTCCAAGATAGCATGCAATCTGATATAGGCTCTACATATACATTCCTATTAAACATATTTTCACATTAGTCATGTTGTAAAGAAGAATTAGAACCAATAGGAGGAACCACAAGAAAGAAGAAACAAAACAAAACAGAAGAAAAAAAAGAGCAAATAGCACGCTTTGATCTACACCATGAGACCCTTTCATTGCTGAGAAGAGCTAAGTCTATCAAAGTTAGTCATCGCACAACGTGGCTGTTACTGTGTACAATGTTCTCCTGGTTCTGCTCAGTTCACTCAGCATCAGTCCATACAAGTCTTTCCAGGTTTTTCTGTAGTCTACTTCTTCATCATTTCTTATAGCACAATAGTATTCCATTACATTCATATACCACAACTCGTTCAGCCATCCCCTCAATTTCCAATTCTTTGCCACCACAAAAGAGCTGCTATAAATAAGTTCCCATTTGTATGATCTCTTTGGGATACAGCCCTAGAAGTGGTATTGCTGGATCAAAGGGTATGCACATTTTTATAGCCCTTTGGGCATAGTTCCAAATTGCTCTCCAGAATGGTTGGATTGGCTCACAACTCCACTAACAATGCATTAATGTTCCAATTTTCCCACATCTTCTCCTTGGGTATTCTTATGGATGATAAATACAGACAGTGCCCTTAATAATTTCTTCAAGTTATTCTTAATCCACTGAGGTTTTAGGAGAGGGAACAGGTTTTTTTTGGGCAAGGCAGTCAGGGTTAAGTAACTTGTCCAAGGTTGCACAGCTAGTAAGGGTCAAGCGTTTGAGGCGAGATTTGAACTCAGGTCCTCTTGACTCCAGGGCTAGTGCTCTATCCATGGTACCACTTAGCTGCCCCAAGGGAACAATTTTCTAAAAGTGCTTCTAAGCATAGGAATAATTTTTTAAGCATTCTGAATGCTTAGGAGAATAAAGCAGAGAAATATAACAAGGTTCCAAAGATCAAATTATATGCATATTCAGGGAGATACTGAGAAGTCAATTTGTTCAAATATATGATGCTTAGTCCTAACTTTTGAAGGAAGAAATGTATTCCATGTAGTAACATAAACAACAAATTAGCATATTTGAGGGTAGAGTAGCATAACTACAAATATTTAATTTTAATAGGTAAGTAATAAGATTATGTAAATCTGTAAGATATTTGGAACTATATACTGTGGCTTGCTAAACAACAGCATAAATATGAACATTCTAGTATTTCCTATAGAACAAAAAACAGAACCCAAAGGAGACCAGAGAAGAAGGTTTTCAGTGAATGAAGGAGATACATTGGCACCAGAGGAAAACAAGAGGCCACCAGAGAGTATAGAAATAAAAGTTCATAAAGTGGAAGTACCAGAGGAGGATATGGACATCTCAGAAAAGGATGATCTTTTGGATTCAGGAGAGATCAGAGATATCAGTGACTCAGAAGATAGACTACTGGTTAAAGAGTCCTCCCCAGACCAAAGTATTGTGGAAGATTTGGCTAGAGGTAAGACTTGCTCATTTTTATTGAAAAAAATACTAACTTTTCTTCAGAAAATATCTCATGTACATCACAGTCAAGATTTTCTTGGTGAACACAATAAAATGGTTTTGTTGTCAAAGGGATACAAAATTCAATGAATATGTTTTACATGTTTATAAAGAGTGCGAGAGAGAAACTATCATTCCTGCTGCAATTTAAGAAATTTCATATTAAAAAAGTGAACTGAAATGGGTTTTATTAAGAACTTGATTAAGTTCTAAAGTTAGAACTTGATTATTGGTTAATTCTTTGGCCATTACAACTCATGAAACATATAAAATACAAAACAGCCATCAGTCCTGTGTGGCAGAATGCAGAAGCATTTGTAGTAATGGTGATATAGTGATAAAAGGGAACAGAGGTTGCAAAGAATCACATGGGTTTTTTTTTTAATAACATCTATAAACATTAAAGTATATGTGGTTACTTGAAATATAAGAGCTTTGTCCTGTGACTGAGCAGACATACAGGAGGTACTGGGTCATAGTAATCTTCACATTCTTTGTATAAATGAAAGCAGAAGACAAAAAGCCAACATGAAATGGTTTACAAATTTTACTTGGAGAGGCAAATAGAGAAGCTGGCATAATTGCCAGCAAATTCTTGATGTTTTTGTTCATTTTGTTTTGGAATATTTGTGACAGAAACATTTGTAAAAAGGCCATCATAAAGATTATTTCAGCCTATTGGCCAAATTGAGTTTTAGACTATAAAAGAGGAGAAATTTTAGAAAGGTCTCCCTAAGGGCCTCTACATTAACTTAGTGTATACTTTAATACTCAGTGACTTTAATGTGAGTAGAAAATGTTGTAAAATATGGCTCAGGAATAAGAAATGTAAGAGGTGGGGGCATCTAGGTGGCACAGTTGATAGAGCTCCAGCCTTGGAGTCAGGAGGACCTGCGTTCAAATCCAGCCTCAGACACATGACACTTACTAGCTCTGTGACTCTGGGGAAGTCATTTGACCCCAATTGCCTCACCAAAAAAAAAAAAAAAGAAACACAAGAGGTCATAGGCTTATTGTATATATTACACAGAAGCTCTTCATCTATGTACAATGAATATTTTTTTCAAGAACAGAGTTGGGAGGTATTGAACAGGTGGTCACTGGATGTCATCACAACATATTAAGTTGATTATATCCTAATAGAAAGGAAATATATGTTTACCAATATGAAAGCCATTGATTTTTTATAGCAAAAAGCAAAATCAATATCAGATTAGAAGAAAGACTAAAAAGGAGATGTGGCATTTAATGAAAACATCTCTAGTTTGATCTATTTAAAGAAACTGTTCATGCCAAATAATGAAAAATAGATGAAAGCATAGATATCAGCACAGATTACTGCTGTTTTCTAAGGGAATTTAACCAATGGAAATCAATAGACATAATGTAAAGACCAAAAGAATCTAGAAACCACATTGCCAAGTGAAGAAATATGGCAGAGAATGTAACACAGGTTTAGAATATAAAATTGATTATAAAATTATAAGTAGGAGAATGGTAGAAAATTATGAGTATAGTACTGCCTTATTAAATAACAAGAAGCTGTAACAAGGAAAATAAATTTATCGAAAGCATAGTAAGCAGTATAATTGAGCCAAATATTCCAAGAATATTTAATGGTGAAACTGGAAGAACAAAGGACAAAAAATGGAAAAAAGATCTTTCAAGATTGATACACAAATTAACAATTCTTTTTACCATCAGTATAGTGGACTTACACATTTTGTCTCAGCCTCACAATCTCTGATAGGCTATATATGAAGTAGAAAACAGCACCTAAGAAAATAAGGTTAGAAAGTAAGCCTGTATTAAATTTAGTATATGCAAAGGAGGACCATGCAGGAGGTGACACAATTTTGGAGAGGTAGGCAAGAGAAGTTGAGAGATTAATTGCCAAGATATCAGAAAGAGGGGAGAATATCAAAGGCTTGGGGAAAAGTTACAGATGTTAAATACTTCCACAAAAAGGTGATGAAGATACCAATAATTATCAGCTCATATTCCTAGTTTCCTATTTATTTTTACTGTTTTAAAAATTATCTTAATGAAATAAATGTGATATGCAGTTGAAAGGATAGCATATACCATGGTCCATGAATATAGCAGACTCAGAATAATTAAATTGAATAGGAAGAACAGGCTCCATTGCATTTGGAAAACTGCAGTACTTTTAATGACTTCAAGCTTTTCCCTGAAACAAAGAACCATTTTTAACAGTACTCATATATTTCTGATGATGTCATACGGCTTCAAGTCAAGCAATGTCACCATCTTTAAAGAATTAAAGTTGCAGATCACTCAGAGAATAATGGAGAGACATGCATGGTGGGTATGAGTTGGCTGCAACATATGAATACAAATTAAGAACTGCGCAGAAGAGGTGGCAGAGAGATATATACCAAGATATACCTCTGGAAGAGAGGAGGCAGGCCAGTCAAGTGAGGAGAGCAAAGATAACCATTGGACAGCCTGGGTGTATTCTGTTTTTACCTATGCAATAGCAAGAGCTATAAAGGAAGTTCTTCTCAGCAGGTTGAGTAAATCTATTATGGAGGATTTATTGGAAGACATGAAAAAGAATATCACAGAATGTGGGATTAATTATAATAAATATCTAACATTTATATAGTACCTTCTATGTAGCAGGTACTATGCTAAGCACTTTGTGAATATTATCTTCTTTGATTCTCAAAACAACACTGGGGAGGTAGGTAGTTTTATTATTCCCATCTTATAGATGAGGAAACTGAGGCAAGCAGAGGCTAAGTGACTTTCCAGGATCACACAGTCTAAAATAACACTTGAACTCAGGTCTTCTTGACTCCAGATCCAGTGCTTTTATCCACTGTGCCACCTAGCTGCCTCACCATCCACATGCCTTTGTACTGAATGCATGTGGATGAGTCACGGTCTGCACTATCAGATAGGTAATGGATCCATTCAAGGATTGAAGTATTTGTTTTGCCACAGACTCATTTATTTTACAAAAGGATTAATCAATTCTTTTAAACATCAGGCCCTTCTGGAACAGTTATACTTTTTGATACCTTTTTTTGATTTAACATATATAAAACTTTTATGGAAATGTCTATCAAAAGGGTATGCTTCTGATGAAGATTTTTTTGAAGTTGCAGGCTTATTAGGCAGGAACTATTATCTCCTTTGCATAGTCTCTAATTAGTTTGTATAATTAATGCATATGCATTTTGATCATTCATAGGAAGAATATTCAAATGAGGTAATTTGTAGAATGCTCTGCAAGCCATAAGGTGCTATAAAAAATGTTAGCTATTATTATTCATTATAATAAAGTAATATAAGCATGGAAATAGAACATTTGTATGAACAAAGACAAATTCTAATTGAGCAGCCCAGGCTTAATAAATCTTTGTCAAATGAATAATTAGTGTTGAATTCTCTCCAACACCCAATTTAACTTTGAGGGTGTTGGAAACTTTGAAAAATTGAACAAGTGTAAATTCACTTTAAGAAAAAAAATACAAAATCCAAATTTATCATCCCGCCTACAAAAAAAATTCAAGATTGTTCTTCAGCTTTGGAACTTTTAATTTCTGACAAAAGGATCCTTCACAAAACAATTCACTTTGAGATTCATTTAAATAGTGAATTCTTCTACTGCATTTCATAAATGGTTTCATATTTAAAAATTCAATTCACATGCCAGGTTTTAGACACTTAGTTGTTGTGAAAAACAAGATGAGGTTTGACATAGGAAAAGGGAAATTAATATCTTGTCACTGAGCTAGTCTAATCTCTTATTCTCTGTAAAAACTGTAATTTGTGCATGTGTGCTATAGTTCAAGGTTAAAATGTATCAGAGTGTAGGATAATCTTATTTAGGACTGTCTCAGATATGTAGGTATTTTAGAAAATTTAATTGAAATTAATCATAGATGTTAACTGCTTCTTATGTACAAAATACTACCTAGACACTAAAGATAACAAAGACAAAAATTAAACAGTCCCTGTCCTCAGTAAACTTACATTCTGAGGGAGGAAGGCTCAAGGGAGGATATGATACATAAATAGATAAGTATCAATGCTAGGTAGGGAGTGATGGGGGACAATAGAGGTCAGACAAATTCACCTCATTTTTTTCCTCATAAATTTTTCCTCCCTCAAAGAACACGACCTCTTCCTCCTTCCAGGGCAAGGATCAGGGAAGACTAAATAGAGCATGTGGCACTTCAGCTGAGAAAGATGAGGTATCTAAAATTTGGAGATGAGTAGAGTCACTAGCATGGAAGACTGCCTGTGCAAATGCACAAAGGTTGGTGTTAGCATGTCAAGTCTGGGTAACAGCTAGTAGTCCAAGTTGGCTAGAATGTAGATGTGGTAAAGGAGTAATTTAATATTTCTGCTAAGGTGGATTGGAAGTGTCTAAATGTCAAGATAAGGATTTTGCATTTTATCCTAGAGCCAATTAGGAACCTCTAAAAGTGTCTGATCAATGGAGAAAGAAGTGTGAGTATGTGGCATAACAATATATATAATTTGTCTTTTATCTAAGCATCTCAGGGCAACAATCCTTAAAAGTGTTTGTGGGCTGGTAGATTTTGGATGGAAAAGAGGAGCAATAAAGAGTAACTATTTCTCATTAAATAAAGGTCGACACAGTTGATTCTTGTTATGTTCCATAAAGTCACTGTGAACACTGAATTAAGCCAATACTGAAGCATTGTTCCTAGGGGATATACAGGGTTAAGTTCCAGCAAGTCTCTGGTCACAACATTTATTTTAGTACTTTCTGGAGTGGCCTCATGTACAGATCAGAGAATTTACTATTCCTTTTTCTGGATGTTTCCTATTGTTGATTTGTTAACAGTGAACTCACAGCCAACAGCACTATAGCCTATGACTTAATAAAACTTATCTAATGCATGTATTTTGTCTATAAGGCACATCACAGCCTTGTCCTGCTTAGGAACACTAGAATCACTTTAGCAATATGCTTGGAAATAATTTTAAACAGCAAAACCATCCCTTAAAAAAGCACAAAAAATGTAAAAAAAATGTGGCACTAAATAGACCTTAAAAAGGATACTTGTTCATTGAAACAAGAAGGCATTTGTCAAATAGTTTTATTTCATAAGAAGTATATGGGAAAACTCCACATAGTTTGGTAAAATACTACATAAACCTCCAACTCTTCGTGACTCCATGTGGGGTTTTCTTGGCGGAGATACTGGAGTGGTTTGTCATTACCTTCTCTAGCTCCTTTTACAGATGAGGAAACTGAGGCAAAAAGTTTTAAGCAACTTGCTCAGGGTCATACAGCTAGAAAGTGTTTGAGGTCTGATTTGAACTCAAGATGTGTTCCTGTCTCCACGCCTGACACTCTATCCACTGTGCCACCTAGCTGCCCATCTATCTTACTAATGATATTTAATTATTGAATGAATCCATTGTCTTGAGGGTTAATTATGTGACTCTTTTTTCCTTGGGGAAAATACAAAAGTTGTCTTCCCTTTTCTCTCCAAGATATAAGTACTATTCAACTAGCCTTTCATTAAGGGGAGATAGAAATTTGTTTTATAATTAAATTTTAGGGACCTTCATGAGAACCCAGAGGCTCTATATACACCTCTGTCAGGAGTGTCATACATTTAAGGATGAACTTATGTTGGGAATTGTTTAAATGGGTAAAAACTCCACATTCTAAAATACCACGTATAAACTAAATTACATTTTAGGTTACTTTTCTTCCTCTAGGAATGGTTTCAGTAGAAGATACTCCTTTGGATACAAAACAACATCCTCTTGAAATAATTTCCACAGAAGAAACTCCTTTAGATACAGAACAACATCCTCTAGGTACAGTTTCCACAGAAGAGACTCCTTTGGATACAGAACAACAACTAGAAACAAATCCAGATGTGCCACTGATTCTTGCAGCTATGAAGAGTGCAAGTCTTGTAGCAAAAGAAAGCATGAAACAATATACTGAGATGGTAAGTATGACAGATTAACTTTCCAAATGGTTTATGGATTATTATAATTATTTAAGTATATTTTGAGTGGTTAGGGCTTTCAACAAGTGACTAGCTTAATAGCTCTGAAAAGATCTTGATAATCTAAAGGAATTTTAAAAGATAGAACTTGAAATACTTTACAGGTTTTGTTATGCTTTTGTTTTTATTCAGAATTGAATTTTCAAGGGAAATGTTGAGGTATTTTATGGAAGGTGAAATACCTGAGGTTTTTTTTAGGGCTCTGCTCCGTGTACTGGGGTATTTGTTGATGTTAGTAATTTTGCTTTAATGTATACTCTAGGTCTGGGCAAATTTCTGGAAGGTAGGGTGTTGAGTTACTAATCCTTATTCCTGGTAAGGGAAAGGTCTGCAAGAGGCAGAACTCAGGCTCCTTTATCAAAAACATCCTCCCTTCTCTATATTTTCTATCTTCCTTTTATTCAGTTGACTAACCTTTCTTTTAAAAATACAAATATCCTTGGTGTAATTGTGCCCATGTTATACTATTCACATTTCATTATGAACTGCCCTAATCTGATCATTTCTTTTCTCGCTGCAGACAGCTTCCCAGTGTGGAGGTAATAACACGTTAATAACTGGCAAGAAGTTTTGGAGTATTTTCTCAAAGGGTAGGCCAGTAGAATACAAACAAACTCCTAGAGGGCAGAGATTTTCAGTTTTGTTTTGTTTTCTCTGAATCATGATCACCTAGGAGAGGGAACATATTTGTTGCTTCCTAATTGATTGTTGAACTGAATTGATTGGATGGAAGAGTGAGGGACTTTGGATTGGCCAGAAGTCAGCACAAGGAAATGAGGAACTTGGAGAGTCAAAATGGAAGGAGGCTGTGATTCTCTTTCTTCACTCTCTCTTTAGCTGTCTGGGGTAGCAGCTATTCAGGGTGCCACTGAGCTTGACACAATGGAATGAGCATTATCTCAGGATTCAGAGGACAGTGAGTTTAAATTTTGTATCTAATACTTTATCGCTTCTGTAAACTTGAACACATCACTTCATGTCACTTGGCCTCAGTTTCCTCATCTGTAACATGAAGAAGTTGCACTAGGTGAACATGACCCCTTGGATTCTCTCTAGCACCAAATTTATAATCTTGTGAAAGTGGTTACACTGAATGAAAAGCCTCTCTCGCCTGCCTTTGGAAATGGCCTTTTGAAACTGTTAATAATAGTCACGCATTTTCAGTGTTTACTTCATAGTATCATTATGGGTTGTTACTTGAAGCCTTTAGTTGCAGAGAGGAGGAAACAGACGCTAGTAGAGGGGAAATAACTCATCCAGGGCCATTTGACTCCACAGCCAACACTTTTTACGCTACGTTTTTCTCTCCTCCTAAAGATTAGGATCAGAGGGCCATAAATGGTATCTAGAGCTAGAAGGTATCTCACAAGCCACCTAGTCCAACTTCTTATTTCATAGATGAAGTCCAGGGTGATTCGGTGCTTACCCAAGGTCACAAAGGTAACAAAAACCAGAGGCAGAATTTGAATGTGGTCCCAGTTTGATTCTAGAGCCAGTGTTCTTTCCATTGCACAATCCTGCCTCCTTCATCATCACATTTTTAGTGACTTTGGGCATGAGAGCTAGACTGGAGAGCATGGGGTGTGGGGGGGTTTGGAAGAGGGTCTGGATATGTGTCTTTATTGGTGTTAGGAATTTCTAATAATGAAATCTCCTCCACAAATTATAATTTTAGAGTAGAGGTTCTTAACTTGGGGTCCAAGGACCCTGAAGGGATCCATGGAGAGATTTAAGGAGGTCCATGAAATTGGATGGGAAAAATACACCTTTATTTTCACTAATCTTTGGTTTCCTTTGTAATTCTTTCCTATTTTATGTATTTAAAAACATTATTTTGAGAAGGGCCCCACAGGGTTCCATGACACAAAAAAAGGTTAAAAACCCTGTTTCAGAGAGCTTGTTGTAGGGCACTGAGATTTAAGTTACATGTCTAGGGTCACACTGTCAGAACGTGACTGAAATGGAACTTCACCTTAGGTCTTCTTGACTCAGAGCCTAGTTTTCTATCCATTATGTCAAGATGCTAGTAATTTTTCAGTAACAATGATGATTATACACATTAATATTTATTTAATTTTATTAATGCCAAATGAATAAATCTTATAATTAATTAATAAATAGATTTTTATAATATTTAAATTTTATAAAAGGTATATAATCTAATAAATTCTTATAAAATTTAATGATTGAATTAAATGTTTAATAAAATTGATTGGTTAATATTTATTAAAATATTAATATTAAAAGTAATAACAATTATAGCAGCTAAGATTTAGTTAACATTTTAAGGTTTGTGAAGCACTTCACATCAACTGCTTACTTGACATTTTGAACTAGATATTCCATAGGCATGTCAAAATCAATATGTCCAAAACAGAACTCCATATCTTTCCCCTCAAATACTCTTCTATTCCAAACTTCCCTATTTCGGTGGAGAAATACCGTCATCCTTCCAGTCACATAATCTCAGCTTCATGATTCAACTCCTCACTCACTGTTACTCCCATTGCATATCTAAGCAGCTACAAAATCTTGTTTCTTCCTCTACAACATCTGTTGCATTGTCTATTCATATACTCCAAGTTCATATCCTGATCACATCTTCATATAGCTGCCAAAGTGATTTCTTTAAGGTTAGACCTGAATATTTTATTCCCTTACTCAATAAACTCCAGTGGTTCCCTTTCATCTCTAGGATCAAATATAATCTCCTCTGATTGGCATCTAAAGTCCTTCACAATTTGGCCCCACCTACCTTTCCAGCCTTATTACACATTGCTTCCTTTCATATGCTCTGCAGTCTAGATAAACCCATCTTCTTACCATTCCTCATCTCCTATCTACGTGCCTTTTCACTGGGTGTCCCCATGCATGGAAAGTACTCCTTCCCTCACCTGAACATCTCATTTTCTGATCCCTTTATCGGTTAGTCCAGTGCTATTTCTACAATACCAGCATGCCACAGAAAACTAAAAGCTTTCATTTGTTAATGCTAAGATATCTAAATTTAATATACAGATTAGTGAAATTAGACACTTAAACCCTTTTAAAAAAAGTACTCAGACTGCAGCTACTGAAGGATCATTCAGTTAGTATGTATAGCTCTACATACATATCGTGATACTGGTCATGAGGGATAAAAAGAATTATATAACAATTTGTATCCCTAAGAGCCTAGCACAGTTCCTGGCATGTAGTAGGCACTTAATAAATGCTTGATTGACTGATTTACCATTTAATAGAGGAAGACAACAATCTGGATGTTGAAAAAAGGTCCTATCATCTAGTATATTAGTATTTCTTCCTAGCTTCATGTCATCTATAAGTCTGACAAGGATTCCATCATACTTTTATTGAAGTTATTAATAAAAATGTTAAACAGTTTAAGTCCAGGAACAATCCCTGGTGGACTCCAATGGAGACCTTCCAAATTGATATCAAACTAAGTCTTAATGACAACTTTTTGAGTCTGACCATAGAACCAGTCCCAAATCTATCTAATAATATTATCATCTCCTTTACATTTCTCCTTCCTACCCACAAGACTGTTATGGGATACTTTATTCCAAGCTTTGCTAAAATTTAAGTAATATACTGTGTCATCTATATGGCATTTCTCTGATCTACAGATTTTATGGTAATACTGTTTTAAAAAAAGCATGGAGAAAAATAAGGTTAGCCAGGCATGACCTACTTTTGATCCTTTTCTTAGATCCTCACTAATCATTTCTTTAATGATCAATGGTAGAAATTTCCTGGAAATCCCAGTCAAACTCACTTTGTACAGTCCATTTTTTTATAAAACAACAACAACAACAACAACAACAACAACAGCAACAAACTGGACACCAATTGACTTCCAATCCCCTCCTCCATTTTCCACAACCTCTCTGATGTCATTGACAGAAGCTCTGTTATAATGTCCACCAGTCCTTTCAGTACTCAAGGATGCAGTTCATCTGGCTGTAGCAACTTGAATCTGTCAAGGACAGCTGGTTGCTTTCTTACTGTATTTTCTATTTACCTTGGGTACCAACTCTCCATTAGTCATGTTTGTCCTGTCATTTTCAGTGGGAAGGCCATTCCCCTTGGCAGAGAAAATGAAACTAAAATATGAATTAAGTAGCTGTCTTTTTTCTCTGTTATCAGTTGTCACCAATCCCCCAAAAGCACCTCAAGATCTCTGCCTGTTTCTTCTTTGGTTGTCCTCTTTTCCCCCTATAATATGGCCAAAGACTCTATTGTGGCCTTGCCTTTTCTTTCCAGCCAAGTAATATTCCAAGCTTTAGCACTCCTGACACTATTACAGTACCACAATAGGATTTTATATTCAGTTTCCATTAGCTGCCCTCATTCCACTATCTCTATCCATCTTTTAAAGATCTGTGCTTGTTGCTGAGTTCCATGTACATTCACATCAAACTGTGTAGACAACTCCTGTTTCTCCCCTCCCCCCACACTCACTTACTTCTGAATTGTATTCCTTGACATTTTCAGAATTTCCTGTTCGTCTCAGGCTGACTTCCCCCACAGAATTTTAGTCCTTGGGATTTTACTCTTGGATTTGAGCATTGGTTTTTTTTCTTAGATTTTGTCTCCAGTGATTTCTGGGAGTCTCATATGCTATTTGTTCCTTATTGTTGTTAAGTATTCTATTGTATCTACTTTGGTGGCCTCTACTTAGGTAGTATTGTTTCTTTACCATTAAAAAACAATAAAAAACCTTTGCAGACCCTAGGCAAATACATAATCTTACTAGCCTTCTTTTTTCAAGGTCCCCTCTATCTTTTGCCAGGAATTTGTTATGCCATATTTTACATATAGACGAGAAAACCAAATCCCAGTCTTACATACCATCTTCTTAGCTAGATGTTCATTTCCCAAGTTAATGGAAGTTACTTGAGTAGAAGAGGAGGTGTGTGATTAAAGTCAAAGCTTAT